TCCACGAAATCAAAGCAACTGAATTATGACTCCGACTTACCTGCTGCCATACATGTTTTCTAATAGCAGGACATTTAGACAGTTTTTAAAGCCAAAAGTTCAATATTTTTTTAGACAACCATAAAATAAATTCACTCAAAAAAACTTAAAAGATTTCAAAAGCAAACATTTTACAGTTTTTAAAATGCCATAAACATGGATTGGAATAAATTCAATAAAAAAAAAAATATATATATATATATAAATCAACTATGTAGAGCAATTAATCCAAAAAACATACTGTAGGTAAACAACTGTCATTTCGTTCTTGTCTCATGAAAAGTATTGATTATCACATTCATTTTTGTTATCTCTTTGACAATGCCATCAAAAAGTTATCGTTAATTAACTAATCACAGATGCTTCGTTGAATCAGAACTGCTTTATGCAATCGGCAAACGAAAAGCACATGATTACGATTATGTTAATACATTCGTTAGCTTTATTACACTTCCAATCACAGTATGTTCACGATGAGCACAAGTTAGGTGAAGAGAAACCGCCATTAAATTTCATATTTCTTCTAGAAAAAAAGAAAAGTCTGCCCTCACGAACAAGAAAAATGCCTCCTTTTTCGTTTCTAAGGACAAAAGGTCAAATATTAAGTTGTGAACGGCGGATGAAGAACCGACCGCCTGATGTATAATATAAGTTTTTGAGGCAATTTAACATGAGTTTTATAGGTATGGTGATCGAGATAAAATGTTGTAACTAGAAGCTTGCTTTCTTTTTATTGGTCAAGTTCAATGGTAGTTATGGCCAAAAGGTGGAAAAGTTCTATTAGCTTTAAAATATATTCTTTGAGTAATAAAATCATCCTTCGAATAGCATAGTATAGATTTAGTATAAGTAATAAAAGGCAGACGATCTCTTTTTCTTTTTTTCGACATCGGCGAGAAAGGATATGAGAATTGTTCTTATCCTTCTTCTTATGTCACTCGCCAATAAGAGCAGACTTTTACTTTTTCACTCTTACACCGATGGCATAAGTGATAATACGTTATGATTAGTAGTTCGACAAGTGCGCAATTAAAAACAATTGCTTCAATTTTTGTGATTCGCTAACCAGTCTGAGCAGCCTCAGAAAAGTAAGATAAACTAAGCTAGTGAGTTGAAACCAAGGTGTTTTAAGATTAAAATGCGTATACTACTCATCCAGACAGAGATAAATAATTTGCTCATCTATTTCATCTTGGATGAGAAGAAATAATCTTATGGGAAATGAGGAGCATCTCAAGAAAACACCGAATGATTAGTTCTTCACAATTTTGTTGCTTACAATGCGCATAAGCCAAAATCTAACATTTGAGTAAGTGACTTCTCTAATAGTGGAGACGAAAAGGATCCTTGTCGTATGTATCTATGTATTTATGGTAAATATTTGCGATAAATTTCAGGTAAATCTTAAGTCTGGGATCCCATTGCATTGTATATTTTCGGGAATCTGTGAAGGCGCAAAAGATAAAAGGCACTGACTGAAACTGACTATCATGGCAAATTCAAAGACCCTTTTTAAAGCGTACATGCATACTCAGTACTCCATTTCATATATAATAATGGAAGAGTGTAGCTACAAAAACATTCGATCAAAACTAAATAAAATTTCTTCTTTTTTTCATTTTTTACCTTCAGTTAAGAACTTTTGTAATATAAAAGAAAGACTAAAGAGATAAAAATATTACATGATTAACTTGGAAAGACATGAAGATAATTAAATCTTGTGGGCTTCCGTAGGAAGACGTTTCAAAAGAATTGCATTCATTTCCTTCGAAAAGTTGCTTTCACTCTTCCTTTTTTTTTCCTTTTTGTGTTCGAAAATTTCCTTTTACATCCATACGGGTCGCTCAGGACTGATGTTTTTCTTTTTTTGCTTTCATAAAAAATTTAAAATTGGATATCATGTTACACTTATATATATAAACTTAACGTTCACGCATTGAATTCGGCCGTTTTCATTTAAGACGGAAAGCCATTGCACCGCTCTACAAAATCCATTTGTTTTTTGTCAATATTGCTCGCATGGAAGGAAAGGTTATGGAGTAGTATAACGTGCACCAAAGTTATTATTCAACGTGGGAGGGAGTTTCCTTGGGTCATTTGATTTATAGTAAGTGCTCAGTCAGGTAAAGGCATACACCTACCGATTAAACACACAACCGGTAGGCTGCGGCCGCTTCCCCTATCTCTTTCTCTTCAAAGTGATTTTTATAAGCCTATTTTGAAGCCAGCTTTCTTCCTTCATTTAAGAGAGTTTTATTATTGACAATAGAAAATATGAACCGATTGTTTGGTCAGATTGGAACAGGTCATTATACACGATTATTACGCAAACCCACCTTATTTTGCATTTTGCAGCTCTATCTCTCTACATCTTTATGTAGCCCCATGAAATTTTTGTCAAGGTTGCGAAGCGTTATCCACTTGGTCGCAATCATATTGTAAAATATATAAAAATTTTTCAGCATTTTGGCTTATTTTCGATTGCTTTATAATAATACACACACACAATGCATTTTCTTGGTGGTACTGTGTTAATTTTATTAACGCTACGCAAGTCTTAATCAATTCATTGATAAAAACGCCACGAACTTGATCCTCCATCCGCTATGCGTGTGATACATTATATTCGTATATACTTATAAAATCATATACGTGCTTACTTTAAAAGAAAAATCAAGTAATTTTTTTTACAATTATCATGAAGAGGAGAAATCTTATTTACTAAATCCGCTACCAGTAAGTACAAACGCGTATGTGTGTAAAATCGTTTCACTATCCTTGAGAGTGTGTGTGCATATGAAATGTTACTCTATGTTCTTTGCTATTTATCGGTTAACGAACTATGTTTTTGTGTTTGTGTGTGCGTGCATTCACAAGTTCTCTCGCAACGAAATATGCTGCTCATAACTAACTGTAAATAATATGTAAGTACATTTTACATTGCGGGTGCATGCATGTTCGTGGCATCGCATTTCTTATTTAGTTAAAAAGCAGAAACGAAAATGAAAATCCCTTTCAATGCTAAGACAGTATATTGATATTGAACAGAAATGAAGGGGAAAAAAAAAGGAAAAGAAAAAAGGGAACAAGAAAAGCATTCACTCGCAATATTCGTTGCAATAGTCGTTGTTATAATAACGCAAATACGAAATGAAAACTACAAATGCAAGTGAATATGAAGTAAATGAAATAATGACGTTTCTTTCGATGTAGTGTAATGGAAAATATTAAAAAGTTTTCTCATTATTATTTCTACTCTACTTGTATGTACTGTACGTGAGGAATACATAGGGATCTATTTATATATATAGCAATAATAAATAAATAAATAAGTAAATACACATATTTAAACGACATTCAACATATATCAAGCCATAGGGGCGCGATTATGTTTTTTTTGTTTTCATCTTACACGTTAACTATATATTTATGAAAGGTGCTTAATAAGAAAAAAGTATCATTGGTTTTTAATTAATTTATTTTTCATTTCAATATTCAATTTTTAATTATTTAAATCCAATCATAAAATAAGAAACGTTTACCATGAAAATTTGTAAATTCATTAAATCCTATGTTCTGTATTGCGGTGTGACGGAGGGATTTCATTAGATTTTCAAACATTTGACTTTTTACTTAGTTACTAATATTTATTCTTGTTATTATTTCAATATATAAATGAAAATGCTAACGATTAATTACGATTTATTTTGACTGAAGATTGGAAAGTAAAAATCAATTGAAAAACGAATGATAATAACCAATGGGGGAGTAATTTCTGCTTAAGGGCTAACACAGCTCTGCAACAGGCTACGAAAAACTACGTTTTCGCATATTTTTTGTGACAGGCTACGAAAAGCGGCCCTATTTTGGTGCAAATATGTCTTTAAGGACGCAAAAAGAAAACGTTTAGTCTAGACGCCTAAACCTAGAGAAGTACAGGGAGATTTATAAAAATATTAAGTTTTTGTGCGATTTATGGCGAGTGTTCGAGCGAAAAACACTATTTTATTATAATTATAAATGTCTGACCTTTAGATTATAAAATAATTTACTAAAAATTCCTTACGAATGTTTCCTTGAAATACATTTTGCAAATTTAGAGAAGAATGAAAATAAAGGGAGTTCTTCCGCTGGCCTAAGAATTAGTAATGCAAGAAAAAAAGATTGAAATAGTGACACGTTTCCCAGACATAAATTTATAAATAAGTATTTAAAAATTGTCTTTTTTTTATTGATATGTGAAAAAGGGAATAAAATGGATAGTTTTGCTAAAATTTGCTTAACATCATGGCAAATGTTGCCCAAACATATAAATCTCAATTGATCTCATTATTTTCTTTTCATCTGTTAAAAGATAATTATGTTATTAAGAGAGAGCTAATTCGTTTTCTACTCTCTAAATTCTATATAAGGTTTGCGGAAACCATCTTAAAACAAAGACACTAATATAAGAATTAGTTAGTTAGCTGCCAAGAATTCCTAAACAAGCACGGAGTTTTTGCGAGGCCGTCCGTGCTGCGTCCATAAATAAAATCAAATATGCCTAGATCTGGATATTTACACTGAGGTGTTACTAAGAAACAAAAGGGAAAGCAAAAAATAAAAAAAAAAACCGATTCAAAGATTAATTACATGGAAAAGATTTTCCTTGCAACACATTACCCAACCATACAAACGTATCTTTTTAGTGATGGTCGGTGTTAAGAAAACATTCAATAGAAAACTATCCATTTTGTAAAAATAAGTTTTTATTATTGACATCGAGAAGTATGAATATGGTTTCCAGAAAGATTTATAATATGTAACATGTTTAAAAATCGAATTTTTTCTTATTGATACGTTAAAAAGGATAAATTTGCTAATATTTGCTTAACATCGTCACAAATGTTACTCAAAAAAATAAATCTCAATTGATCTCATTTTTTAAGAGATAATAATGTTATTACGAGAGAGTTCATTTGTCTTCTGCTCTCTGAAGTTAATATAAGATTTACAGAAACCTTAAAGCAAAGGCACTCATGTAAGAATTAGTTAGTTAGCTGCCACGAACTCTTAGGGAAGTACGTAGTTTTTGCGAGGTTGTCCGCGCTGCGTTCATTCGTTTTTTATGTATGTACCCGTTCGGTAAAGCAATATAGAAATTAGACGAAATAATAAAAGTTGAGAGAGCATTAAAATTTGTTTGAAATAATATTAATTATGTTTTTATTTCATTTGGTAATTTTTCCTTTAGAATTAGTAAATAGTAATCGCTAGAGTCCGAAAAAAATCAGAAAAAATAAAAAGAAAATGTCGCCAAGTAATAATCGGATGCTTTCGTTTTTGCTTTCGGGTATGACGCTGGTTTAGCAAATGTACAATCGTAGATGCGAAGAACAGAAGTGATAGAAATAAGCTATTTTCGTGATTGTCTCTGTTAAGAAAGCATTCAATAAAAAAATATCCATTTTGCAAACATAAAAAGTTTTCATTATTGTCACCGAGAAGTATGAACACTGTTCCCAGACAGATTTATACTATGCAAGATGTTTAAAAATCGACTTTTTCTTATTGATATTGTAAAAAGGAATTAAAATTGAAAAATTTGCTAAAATATCACAAATGTTTTTAAGCAAAACCACTCATATAAGAATTATTTAGTTGCCATAGACTCTTAGGAATTTTAGCGGGGTCGTCCATGGAGCGTCCATTCGTTTTTTCGGAAAAACGATATAGAAATTAGACGAAATAAATAATAAATGTTAATAAAACATTAGAATTTGCCGAAAAAAATGGTTAAGTAATAATCGGGTGCCTTCGTTTTTACTTTCGTGTATATTCATAGGTTATCGTAGGTGCGAAGAAGATAAGTGATAGAAATAAACTATTTCGGTAAGCAAACATGTATACGTTCGTGCAATCATTTCGAAAGAATATTTAGAGCTTCGTTAAATTAAATGAAGTATGCCGGGATCTCGACGTATACTAAAGTTACTATGAAACAAAAAAGGACAGATAGATAATCCCATGTGACTGCTATTTCTTTTGCGGATGTGAGTGAATTTCTTTTTCAATTAAAAGCAAATAAAGCCTAAATATCCAATAGTTCATTCATAATGCACAAACAAACAAACTTAACTTCTTCGCGATGTTAAGAAACCATTTTAACAATATAATAAGTAAGTGCGGAATAGTAAAATCGGGCTCACGGTCGTGGTAAAGAAAATATGGATTTATAAAAAATAATAAATATGTGAATAGTTCAGCACGGACATAGACGACCGACCGAAGGACAGCAGCGCAAAAACAAGTTACTCTGTTTGAAGTCCGTTTTGATATGCTAGAACCAATTCATGATTTTTATTGTGTGTAGAAAAATCCGTTTAGTCTGTGCGGGATGTGCATATACATGTACGCAAGAACGCTTCCTCATGCTAACCGTTGTATTTGATTATTACTTTCGATATTGGGAAATGCAAATGTTGTAACAGAGTCCGAAAGATAAGTCTTTTTTTAACATTATCTGCTCTACGGAGCTTGCTCAATTCTCTGATCCGTACTCAATTGTACATACCTGTGTGCGACAAACTTCAAAACATTTACGTGGTCTTTACTTACATATTACGTACAGCTTTAAATAATTATATCGCAAAATTTCTCAACCAGTGTCGGTAAAAGGTAAGTGGAATTTTGAGTAAATATTTTTCTTGTAAATATTTTGAATTGAATGACATGCAAGCCCTAAAAGTTCCAAAACGTCCTAAATTCAGCACTTTCTTGCTAATTTTTTTCCACGCCAACCCTAACCCAAACTTAATCGTTATCACTCGCTACGCACTCCTAAGAAATACTAACCCCATCCCATGCAATTATTAACAACCACCAAACATCTATAATGATAGATCATAGTCAGTGATAATCAGTAATAATAATTCATTACATATATCATACTATATATATCTAATAACTCATAATACCATGTAATGCGGCTTGAAAATTCCATGTGCATTTGTCCAGTGGCAAGCGATAGAAACTCTTGATCGTTGAAACCAATTACCATTAAATAAGGCTCTTTTTGTATGATGGACACACAAATTAGGCAACTTATGTCTATATGTCCGACTTTTAACCAAGTGCTTCTATTCTGTTAAATGTTAGGGTTATATCCGTGTGCTCTTCTTCCAATCAAACTAGCTATTATTTGTTCAATGCATAAGAAGAAAAAAAATCCGTAAAATTATCATAAAACTTTTCATTACTCTTGAAACAAAATGAAAACAGAAAATAAATCCAAATTTCAATTACATTGTCAATAGGTAAAAACTGAGAGAAAAAGTTTTAAAAAAGTTCTAAAAGTTGCCATGCTTATACACATATTGTTTATAAATGTAAAAAAAAAAAAAAAAATTTCGAGATGCTAATCTTTGTCTTACAAAGGCTTTTGGGTACTCACCGCCTAAGCTATTTGAGTATAAGAACATTTTTTAACCCTGTAGGCAGATCAAGATTACTTTCTCGCCTTTCTTTAGAATACATTTAGAATAATATTTAGGTCAACCGGCCGTAGAGCAGTCTTAGAGGTAATTTTAATGAGCAAAGAATTGCAATTTTTAATATTCTTTTAAAACTGTTCCCGTTTCTACGCTAACATTGCATACTTGTAAGTACGTGTGCCGTACCTTTAACTTTGCCTCATAACCAACTATGCTGCGATCCCCATTTCTTTCCCTCTTTTCTCTTCTTTCCGACAGCCGCAGTGTTACGCGAACAGGATACATGGATACATTCCCTAAGTGATTGATCATATTGAAAAACATAATTTCACCTTTCCTTAAAAGGCAGGCCAGTTGATTCATTCTTGCCATTTTGTGGTGCCAGTTATACGTCCATATGTCCTTGTCCTATGACGTATGTAGTTGAGTTTCTGTCCTTATTGGCTGCGAGTTTTCAATTCAATTCTTCTCCAAGAAACTCACTATTTATTTATTTATTTTTGTTTGTCATATTAATAGCTGGTGAAGCGCGAATATTCGACATTATATTTATCAGTATAATCGTACACAAATGAAATCCCGTCTATTCCTGCAAGTTTCTTAGGCGAAAAGATAAATGATTTTCGGACAATTCCATATCTCGTTTCTCATTCGAAATCCGAAAGATCCTTTGAAGCATACAATTGAGATGCTACCTACGAAATGACACAACTTGCATGCTTTCTTGGGTATCCTTGTGTTCTTTACCTCTTTAAATTTAGCTAATTGCAAAAACTACCAAAAAAAAAAAAGGAAAGAAAAATTCCATTAAAACTTTTAAAATTTTTGCAATGAAAAAAAATTAAAAGCTTAAAACTAGTAAGCCGTTCGTAGTGTTTCAAGTGCTAGTACCCGTATGTATGTAAATTATTGTCAAACATTTGGAGCGAAATAAGCTTCCAACGCTACAGCATTTAAATTTTTAGTCCGTTAATGATTATGATGGGGACAGTTTCAATGATGGCGAGTGCAGCGTTGAACTTACAAGTGATTAAGACCGTTCTCTATGTATGAGTAAAATCGAAATGAAAGGAAAATGTGGAAAAGTTTCTACGTTAAGCTAACGACTATAGCTCAAACGAATATTGCATGTGTCAATGTTTTTGTAATATCCAGGAATACATATAAGAGGCATTATTAGAGGCATACAATTTTGAGAAGAGTGAGAATTTGGATATTTGCGACTGTCACTGCTCTACTGCTTTACGCATCCATTTATCTGCCCGACTATCCAAACATTTGACTGACCGTCTGTCCGATCGTCCTTCTATCCGATCATTCATCCAACCGATTGTTCATTTACTCGAGTGGCCATTTATCTGACTATCACTTTATCCAAAAGCTCATTTACCCGCCCACCTACTTACGCGATCGTCCATCTCCAGGCCTCCCACAACTACCTTCAACTGATATACGGTCAACGCGTTTGATTGTACATCTTTCCGCTCTATCTGTCCGTGCACTTTTTCGACAGTCTATCTGTCTGACTGTCCATTCGTCCGACCGTCCGTCTGCGCGATTACAACCGTCTTTTCAATTTTCCATCGTTTCGTATGCTTATTTGTCCGCCAATCGTATGTAGCGTGTTTTCATCTGTTCGATCATTTCTTCGCCATAACGTCTCCCTCATCGTCATGAATCGAAAATTTGAAAGAAAGTTGAATTTATGTTTATTTATTATTAATAGTTTGCATAAATTTAGCTTGAAGGAAAGGTTGATTTGCTTATGTATTCACTTCCAATTGATAGAAAATTGCAACCAAATATGAAAAAAGGAATATAGCATTGACTTGAAATTTGGCACAAATATATTTTATCTCCATTTGAAACCAGTTTCTGTCGATCATCGCCGGTGCATTTGTAAATAATCAGATTTGCATAGATACTTGTATTATAAATGCTGGTAATCGAAACGTTGCTCACTTTCCGGCTAGTTTTCTATGTTTTCGCTTTTGTACATATAAACATGAAGTCTGTTAAAAGCTGAAAATTGCTTCTTTTTTTTTTAATTTGCCTATGATTTCATAAGAGAGTTTTTCTATATCCCCTTAGCCGTATATATCTTCCTTGAGATGGGCCATTATAAGTGATAGCAGCGTATACATGTTATTTTCTTAACAGACACGATAAGTGCGTTGAGTTATATAAAGAGACAAAGTTTACATCATGTATTTATGCAAAAACCTAGGTATGCTTACAGGGCATGTTATTTTAATAAAACACATAACACTAAAGGCGAAGAATACTTAGGTGAAGAGTGGCCATCCAATATAGACCGATTGATTGTCAATTTTCTTTATGAATTTTTTATTCACTTTACTTATCCCTTCGTCATTCAAATACTAGTCATTTCGCTTATAACGTTTTCTTATTTATTATTGGAAACAATAATCGAATAATATATGAAAAAGTAATCTTTGATGGAAAATTTGTTATAATTTAAAAACAATACGTAAAGCAAGAATTCTTCATCAATATTTATAGTAAAACAGTTAAATTAAATTTTTTCTTATATTTTTAAAGATGAAAATGAATACTTATTTTATACGCGTACAAGAAGCCAAAATTATTGCTATGTCGTTTGCTCCTTATGCACCCATAACTCTGTCTTAGCAGTTTTTCATTGCTCTGCTGCTAAACATTCTTACAATTTGTCTTTAACTGTAAGTTTATGGCTGATTTTATAGCTTTATGTGAGACAGTAAATAATACAAACGTATATAAAAGAAAACGAAAAAGAAGAAGACTTTTATAGATGCGCGTAATATTCACTGAAATTTATGTTTATTATTATGAGATAATGTTATTTCATATAATACGTAATAGAGTTACGCTTGAATTTTATGACCGTTAAGATGAATAAACCCACGCAAAATATTGCTAAGTAGTTAAGGGATTAAGCTTTTATATTAGGCATTGTTCTACTCTTTTGCATATAAAATAATTAAAAATGCAGACAGCACAAGTCAACAACAAATTGAAAGAAATAAATTTCTTATTAGCATTCTATATATACATATTTATAAAAATTATTAAAGTGTTAGTAAATTTTTTGCAAGTAAAAAAAATTTCAATCTCTATAAGCGAAGAACGGGCATGTACTGCATTTTTAACGCTCAGAACGAAAAGTCATCAGATATTTAAGCAAATATGTATTCATCGTTACGGCATTGTTAGTTGATTTATTCATATCTGTCTGTTTACTAGTGAATTGGTCAGTCTATCTACTAAGCGTTTTGCCCCCCTTTCTATTCTATTCGGGTGTTCGGGGGAAGTCGTTCCGTCTCCTTTTTTTTTCCAAAAGACGAGTTAATTGCATTTCTTCTTATGCGGCATTGTTCTTATGCACCTTAGTGATCGGTGAAATAGGTCTTGTTTCCGAAAAAGTTTTCGTCTGGTCCCTTATCAAATCTGGAAAATTGAAAGCAGCAAACCTCGACCCCAATTATAATAACCTAGCTTAGCACAAGTAATAATGGTCAAAAGATCAGTAAACGATAAGGAACCATCTTGAACGTCTACTTCTGACGCATACAAACAGAGAGTCGCACCCCTACTGCAATTAAAAACTGCATTGGTGTATATAAAAAAAAATATATTTTCACTTACCTTAGAAAACTCTGCACATTCGCTTGCATTGATCGAGTCGTTTCCATACGTAAGTTACGTCATTTATTTGCATTGTTTTCTTATCGGAAAAGCACATATTTGCAGATGTCTTCGATCGATTCAATGATTGAATCGTTTCTGAAATCAAAATACAAACCATTAGAACTTTAAATGATTTGTCTCTCACTGCCACTCACTGCTTCCTTTCCTTTCTTTAGTTGTATGGTTTTTTGCATATTTCTTTTCTTTTCTTTTTACCCTTGCCATAGAAATAAAAACAATTTTTTTTATTTCAATGTAGATTTCTTTATTGATTTGTTTTTTTTGTTTTTTTTTAGCAAATTTGCTTTACAAAGAAAAGCATCATTTTCAATGATTTTGTTTTTTTTTTTCGTATTTTTCATATTTGTGCATAAATGAATGATTGCTGACATTGACTGACAATATTATGAAGGACTAGATTTGTTGAGGAAAAGACATAATAAATAAAAATTTTTCACAGAGTAATGCAAGTTTGAAGAACATGGCTTCATATTA